ATAGAAAATTCAATTATGTTAGACTCTAGATGAGTACATCTATACAGTAAACATATGATATGGTATGCTTTAGTACAAAATTTTTGCTCTAGCTTTAGATCTATACTTTTATGTGATTAATTCATAAATGCAGTTTCTGTGGTCCTATTGTGGTGAAATTTTTATAGTGGACTAATCATTGTATGCTTGAGATGTAGTAAAAATTTCATACTCGTTGGATCATGTATGACTGAGTTATAGACTTATTCAGGTTTATGCTTATTAAATAGTTTTAAAATAATTAAAAGTGTGTAAAAATAGAAAATGTATGTTCTGTGTGTAATTTTCTCCGTGACAACATGATTATGTTAAGTGCTCATAAGATATAACAATAGTAATATTACATAGAGAACGCATATTTTCTATTTTTAGACACTTTTAACTATTTAATAAGTATAAACCTGAATAAATCTATAACTCAATCATACATGAGACAAACACCTAGCTTTCCAAGACTCCGTTGTATGAAATTGACTAAGTATTATAAGCTCGTACTCATTATCAGATTCTAGATGTAAAACGTAGATTGTTTCGAGTTCTCCCTTGGGGTGTGCTCGACGGAACTGTCGTTTTAGCCACTTTTGGGGTGATTAGTGTCTAGTGGAAGACGAGCACCTCCGAAAGTATGTTATTTCAGACGATTCTGCCACAAGTTGGATGCAAATCTCTTGACAGGTTTTGTACCGATGACACTTGGTAGCGTGTTATATCTGTTATTCTTTCCGGGAACTATCTTGAAGGGAACCTAAACTTCCTGGCTAGTCTTTTGAATTGTAGACAACTCCAACAACTTGATGTTGGGTCAAATCATTTCACTGGAAGAATCCCTGACTATATTGGAAATCTCTCCAGTCAATTGTCAATTTTCTTTGCAGATAGAAACAATTTAACTGGTGAAATTCCTGCTACCATGTCAAACTTAAGCAGTCTGAATTGGATAGACTTATCCGAAAACCATATGAGTAGCTCAATTCCAAAATCAATCATGATGATGAACAAGCTCATTGTTATGTACCTCTATGGCAACCGTTTGTCGGGACCCATACCGGAACAGCTTTGTGTGCTTGGGAACTTAGAACAACTTGTCCTCCATGACAATCAACTGTCTGGCTCCATACCAGATCAGATAGGCAACCTCTCCAAGTTAATATACTTGGATCTATCTCAAAACCGGCTATCATCAACTATACCAGCAAGCTTATTCCATCTTGACAGTCTCGTGCAACTTGACCTGTATCAGAATTCACTGAATGGTGCATTGCCAGTTCAGATAGGTTCCTTGAAACAAATTTCCATCATTGATCTCTCTAGCAACATCTTCGTTTGTAGCCTTCCTGGTTCCTTTGGACAACTGCAGACACTAACCAACTTAAACCTGTCACCACAACTCATTCAACGATTCAGTTCCAGAGTCTTATGGCAACCTTAAGAGCTTGAAATCATTGGACCTGTCATACAATGATCTATCTAGTACAATCCCAGGGTACTTGGCCAAATTGACAGAACTCGCTATCTTGAACATGTCCTTCAACAAGCTACATGGTCCGATACCAGAAGGAGGTGTCTTTGCAAACATTACCCTTCAGTCTTTGATAGGGAACTCAGCTCTTTGTGGTGTCTCCCGTTTAGGGTTTCTGCCATGCCAAAGTAACTATCACTCAAGTAATAATGGACGACAAACCCTAATATGATCAATCCTTGCTAGCAACATATTAGTTGGAGCTCTTGTTTCCTACCTATATGTGTTAATCAGGAAGAAATTGAAGAAGCAAGAGATGGTGGTTTCTGCTGGAATAGTTGACATGAACAACTATAGATTGGTATCGTACCATGAAATTGTTCGGGCCACTGCGAAGTTCAGTGAAAGCAACCTGCTAGGTGCTGGAAGCTTTGGGAAAGTTTACAAGGGACAACTAATTGATGGCATGGTGGTTGCAATAAAAGTTTTAAACATGCAGTTGGAACAAACCACTAGAAGCTTTGAAGCAGAGTGCCGTGTGCTGCGCATGGCTCGACACCGTAATTTTATAAGGATACTAAACACCTGTTCGAACATGGACTTCAAAGCATTGGTTCTACAGTACATGCCTAATGGTAGCTTGGAAACATGTTTGCACAGTGAAAACAGGTCATGTTTAGGAATCCTGAAGAGGATGGAAATTCTGTTGGATGTGTCAAAAGCAATGGAGTATCAGCATTATCAGCACTGTGAGGTAGTCCTGCACTGTGACTTAAAGCCAAGCAATGTTCTCTTTGATGAAAACATGACCGCACATGTGGCAGACTTCGGCATTGCAAAGCTATTATATGGTGATGACAACTCTGCAGTTTCTGTGAGCATGCCAGGAACAATAGGGTATATGGCACCAGGTACCCCCAGTCACACTAGTCTTGTTTTTTATCATGCTAAATTGCTAATACATGTATTGTTGCAATTAATACTTCTGCTTGTCAAAAAAAAATTTACCAGAGTACGGTTCCAGTGGAAAAGCATCAAGAAAGAGTGACGTATTCAGCTATGGGATCATGTTTCTTGAAGTACTCACAGGAAAGAAGCCAACGGATCCAATGTTTGGCGGACAACTAAGCCTCAAGATGTGGGTCAATCAAGCATTTCCAAGAAAACTTATCGATGTTGTGGATGAACGTTTACTGCAAGACCCTTCAATTAGCTGCATGGATAACTTCCTTGAGTCAATGTTTGAACTGGGTTTACTATGCTCGCGTGACATACCTGACGAAAGGGTGAGGATGAGGGATGTGGTTGTGACACTGAACAAGATAAACAAGGATTATTATCATTCTACAGCATTAGCAGGTCCCACGTCATTTGGTGTTGACGAGCATTTCAATGTGCAAGTAAGCAGTGCATGACAACTGAGTTATTCGACAAACTTATTGTCAAAGAATACCAAACATTGTTATTAGATGCACTGCCAGTCATTGAACTTTCGAGTAACAGATAATAACAGTGAACAGAGACATAAGGTGTATCCTGATTCTTCAGGGTATAGTGTGTATGATGAGACTTCCTTGCCTCATACAGAGGAATTTCCATTGTTATGTAAATTGAAACAGAAACCAAAAACTTGCAGTAAAAGTTCCTGCATTCTCAAATTAACAGCAAAGCATTACAGGATGCAGAAGAAAGTGAAACCTACCACAGCATAATGCAGCTCCTCACGTAACATTTCTGACGAAAAAATGGCAAGCCTACAAGAGATCTACCTAGCAATTTAAACTGCAGTAGGAAAAACAGTTTCCTACCACTTAGCTACCCCATCCTACATAGTATAAAACACAACAATCATATCCTACTGATCAAACCACAGATTAGCAATCGCTAGGGAGTGGACAATGTACATACATCAAATGTAGCTTGTACATCCAGTTGATCAAGCCACAAATTTCAGGCAGTGTGTATCATTGTGTATGACTTGACAGCGGCAAGAACAGAACCTTGTTCCACACCTCACGTATGTGTAGTTTGCAGAACTACCACAAACTGAGCAGTAGTGCCGTCGAGATGAAGTACTCGGTGGACCCACAGCAGCCCTCAAATATGATGGGACATGAGGAGGCAGGGATTCCAGATTTGCCTGTCACAGTTCCAGAGTGAAAATCTTTCCAGTATTTTACTGACAAAATAAACATGACAATAAAGAAACTTATAGCTCAAGGTTGCTTACTTCTTGTAAGACATCCATGAATGATCTTGCTGCCCTCTTCTCCAAAGCTTTCCCTTGCCTTGTCTTGCGTTTCGTAATCTTGGACTGCTTTTTTTGCATGAGAACTGTATAAAGGAAAGCAGAAAATAAAAGATGGCTTACAGCATTGAACTAAAGTTATCAGTGGGTACAACATTGAATGAACATCCACAGATCCACAACCCATAGACTATAACACAAATGCAACATTTAAAGAAATTGTGAACCCAACCTTTGCAGTTTACAAGCTGTAGCATGTGGAGTTTAAAGATATATAAAGAGGTATATGCATCGTAGGCCCTTGAACTTGTCTCGTGATGCCACTTAGGTCCACAAACTCTCTAATAGTACTTCTGGCACCCTAGTGTTGTTTAAGTATGCCACTTAGGCCCATAACTCATCGGATAAGGTTTTTGCCGACGTGGCGGGGACAGAGCGCACACGAGCCTGGTTTGGGCGGCCACACGAACCGGGGCTTGAACAGTGGCACCTCGGGCGGCGGCGTGGCCTTGGTCAGGACCTGCAGCACCTGCGGCATGGTGGGCCGGTCACCCGGGTTGGGACTGCTACACGCCAGCGCGAGCAGCAGCAGGCGTCCGGCCTCGTCGTGGTCGAACTCGTCGGCACCAAGGCTCTGGTCCACGGCGCCAAGCAGCGCGCCACGGCCGTGCATCTGCCACACCCAGTCCGACAGCAGCGGGCACCAAGGGTCGCCGGCGCGGAGCGCAAGCTGCCCCGTGACCACCTCCAGCACGAGCGCACCGAATGCGAACACGTCCGTCTCCCGCGACGCCTTGTGGCCGACGGAGTACTCGGGCGCGATGAAGCCGCACGGGCCGGCGACGTGCAGGTCGGTGAAGGCCTCGCGGTCGTCGTCGAGCAGTCGCGCCAGGCCGAAGTCGCCCAGCCGCGCGCGGAAGGACGCGTCCAGCAGCACGTTGCTGGCCTTGACGTCGCGGTGCAGCACCATGCAGGTGTACTCGTGGTGCACATAGTGAAGCCCCGCCGCGACGTCGCCCACGATGGCGTACCGCCTCGCCCAGCTCAGCATGGGCCACCGCTGCTCGTGGACGCCGCGCTGGAACAGGTGCTGGTCCAGGCTGCCGTTGGGCATGTACTCATACACCAGCAGCAGTTGCCCTTTCTTGTAGCACCAACCTGACAGAAATGCAAGTGACGCAGTGCTCGTCAGATCAGATTGGAAAAAGAACAAGACGCATCTCATCGTCCAGTGGACATCACTGCACGTTCGCTCTAACAACTATAACCTACTCTGTCGTACGCGAACCCCCTGGGCATCCCGGGGAGGTTGCTGAGCTGCTGCTCCAGCCGCTCCTGCCGCCTCTCCATGGACCGCCTCGCGCGCAGCTTCCTGGCGAGGAAGAAGGCGGCGACGCCGACCGCGACGACGGTCACCGGCACGACGACGGCGACGATGACGACCCACGTCGTGCTCTTCTTCTCCGGGATGACCTCGATCGACAGCGTCCAGTCGAGGATGCAGTTGAGCTCGAAGTCGGTGCCGGTGGACGCGGTGAAGCCGATGTACGCCTTCTCCGGGACGTGCTCGCTGAGGTCCAGCGGCGAGTCCAGCACCGGGGACGCCGGCTTCGGCTCGCCCCGGACGCCCATGTACACGGACACGTGCCGCGCCACGCCGTCGTACTCGACCCAGGCCGTGTAGTTGGTGGGGTTGCTGCTGTTCGTGGCGATGCGGAACGCCGTCAGGTTTGCCGTCTTAACGGACACGACAGAGCCGACGTTGAGGCCGACGTGGTTGTCGCTGGGATCGTAGCCCTGCTTCGTGGTGTCGAACTCGACAGCCACGAAGCGGTTCCTCGCCGGGGTTGGGTTGGCCTCGAGCGTGGCGTTGGTGAGGCCGAGGTAGCCGCCGTAGCTGCCGGGGGGCGGCTCGTCGCGGGACGGCGCGACGACGAAGGTGAGCCCCTCGCCGGGCCACGGCGATGAGTCCGGGAGGTGGAACACGTTGATGGAGAAGGTGTTGTTGAAGGACGTGCGGGGCCGTGGCACTGCCACTGCCATTGTCGACGCGGCGCCACATGGTGAAGCGGCGCTGGAGGAGCACGGAGCCGGACTTGTCGACCATGATGTCCAGGTAGCTGCCGACGTTGCCGGTGTCCGGGGAGACCTGGATCGCGCCCTGGTAAAAGCGGGCCTCCCTGCTGAACGCCAGCTCCTTTTGCTCCCGCGAGTTGCCCTCCTGGAACGACGTGTAGTTGTAGGTCTCCACCTCCAGCGCCGGCAGCGGCTGCAGCTGCCCGTGCCCCGGCTCCTGCGCGCGGCAGACGACGGCGCGGAGGCAGAGCAGCGAGAAGACGAGGAGGCAGCCTAGTAGAGGTGACAGAGCAGAGCGACCACGTCCACGTCCACGTCCGCCGCCGAATGCAGCAGGCGCCATGACCACTCACGCGCGGCTCACGTGCGCTCGGTCCCCGCCACGTCGGCAAAAACCTTGATATGACGAGTTATGGACCTAAGTGGCATACTTAAACAACATTAGGGTGCCAGAAGTACGATTAGAGAGTTTGTGGACCTAAGTGGCACCACGAGACAAGTTCAAGGGCCTACGATGCTAATAACACGGGTTGACAAGCTGCAGCATGTGAACCTCAAAGATATCTAAACAACTGGCTTTAGGGGCATCTCAGATGCTAATAACAGCACCTTATGAATAATTTGCATTGTTGTTCATGCCAGATGTGTTAGAAGCGAGCGTCTGCTGTAAATATTTTCTTTCAAGGATAATTTTAATCTTACTTTTGAAACTTTTGCAATGGCAAGAAAGAAAAAAAATGATTCTTATTCTGCAAACTGGATACTGCAAGCAATATAAAAAAATATGTCATACACAAGAAATCTGTATTTCAATACTTGCTGTTTGCAAAGAGCAACATTCTGTCATTGAGTTTGTGCATACTGTATCCACCTTATCCATTTTTACATCATGGAATTACTATATGAAGATAATAAAGGAGAAAGAAACTAACCAGGGTCTTCCTCATCTGTGGATCCGTACTCATCATCATTAAGATCTACCACCTCAACCCCAGAATTATCACTCTCAAGAGCTTCAAGGCGAGCTAATGCAGCCTGCATGGCATTACAGATATGAAGGTATCCATAATGGGACAGCAGAACATCAAGGAGAATAATTTCAGACACAATGATTGATCGGCGACCTATAAGCACAAAATTGTCCCAATCTGAATATGTATGGAAGCTGAATTAATTAACACCTCAAAGTAAAATCCTTCGGTAAGGAGCCATGAGAAAGGCACAGGGACCGCAATACACATGGCACATAATACGCATTGCAAACCCAGGATAGAACTCTTTTCCTAAAATGTTTTCTAGAGCATATACTTACTATTACCAAAACTACTTTTCAATGAGGCCAGATGGCCAATCGTTCTTCTAGAAAACAGAAACAACAATAAGGCCAATCACTTGAAATGAAATGCTTCTTTTATACTTGCTAGATAGAATTGGAGCATTCTGACCACAACACATGAGGATAGACAATGTAGAGAGAGCATCTATCCAGTTCTAAGTTCAACACAGTGAACTGAAAAAAAAAAAACCCGCCGAGGAAAGGGAATTGGCATCCTCATTGGCAAACGGCCACGGGAAACAGCTTGGGATAGGAGGAAGAGAGGGGGGACGTAGGAGCAGTCAGTGGAATCCCCTTGTTACCTGGGCGCGGTTGTCAGAGCTGGCGAGCGCGGAGGCCATGCGCGTGGCCATGCGGCGCGTGCGGGCGCTGGTCCGGCGGAACGGCCCGACGTTCTCCTCCTCCCCATCCATCTCCGGTGACCAACAGAGGCAGGCAGTGGCGGGCGGCCCTTTGCGCTGGATGAGGAGACAGGCGTCGTCGGCGTCAGCGCCGGCGGTCGAGCAAGTGCGGCGGCCGGTGGGGAGAAGTCGGCCAGGCTGCATTATCCATGATCCATCTCACACACTTCAGTTCAATTTCAATACCCTCTGATGAGTTGGGCTAGCCTCCTTCCGACCAGATTTCAACGGGCCGACATGGCGAAGTTTTTTGGTGCCAATTTATAAAAAAATTGCTCAAAAAAATATAAAAAAATTCATTCTACCTCCCTAAAATATTGCGCAGTCTTATTTACTTCTGGAATTTTGAAATCAGACATCCAACCTCCTAAACTCTAAAAACCGTTCAAAATACCTCTCTACCTTGGTTTAGAGTGGTTTTGAAGGCAATTTTGTCCTTTTTAGTTAAAAAATGATAAATACTTGATAATAAGGTTATTAAAGTAGGAAATGTCCCTAAGATTTAAGAAACTTAGAAAAAAGTTCTAGAGATAGATTGGGATATGAAAAATCCAAATAAAATATTTAGAGCTCATTAAAATATCTCTAAATGGTTCAAAAATAGATTAACTCTAGGAAAATAAAAAATATCCAAAAAAACTAGAAAATTCCCTAAACATTCTAATTGCTATGTAAATTTGTTGTGAAGACTTTTTTGCAACAAAAAATGTAATATGCAATCAACACAAATGCATAGCATGAATGTATTTAGCATTATCATCTGTTGCATTCATACTGGTTGCATCCTATATTTTTGTCATGCAAAGTTTTTAAAAGTTTATACATTAAATAGAATGTTTTGGAATTTTTCTACATTTTCTAGATATTTCCCATTTTCCTAGAGCTAAACCTATTTTTAAGCTTTATAAAGATGTTTTCATGAGCTCTAAATATTTTATTTGGATTTGTCGTATCCCAATCTTTCTCTTTTTTTTCTAAATTTTTAAAAGCTTAGAGAATTGTTTGTGGTTTAAAAACTTAATGTATTTACCAACCTTTTTAACTAAAATGACAGGCCTTCCTTCATAACCACTCCAAATCAGGGTAGGGTAGGGAGGTAATTTGAATAATTTTGAGAGTTCAGGAGGTGAGGTGTCTGGTTTTAAAGTTTGAGGAGCAAAATCAGATTAGGGCGATAGTTCATGGTGGTAGAATAGGTTGTAAAGCACCAATAGCAATTAACATCTCATTCCAGTTCGCACCACTATTTTGCCATGTTAGTGTAGATAGCCAAAAGGCCAAAGTCGATGTTGTGTCACCATTAGTGTGACGCAAGACAAATGTAACCCGATGGATATGTTTTTTCTGTAAGGTCGGCAAGAGCTTTGCCGAAATATATTAGTAGAAGAAAAAAGCAATACAATATAGTTACAACACCGAAGCAAAAAAGACAACCAAAACATCTGAACAACGGCAGACCACTGTCAAGGAAAAACTTGCTCCAACAACATAGGATCAGAAAACCTGATGGATGTTTTGCAACTGCAGGTTGCGTGTTCAGAGATGTCATCTGGACGTTTCAATTATATGTATCAATGAAGCAAATCACTAGTACAAAGATGGAAATGATGATTCATTCAATTTTCAAACATTGCATACAGTGCAGCTTGAGAAAACAACATTACACAGAGCGGAAGGCATTATATATAATAATACTAAATTCGTTTTAAATTATAGTTTGTTTGACTTTTTTTGACCCTAAGTTTGACCACTCGTCTTATTCAAAAATTTATGTAAAATATCACTTCTTTTGTTGTGGCTTACTTTATTAACAAACGTTCTTTAAGAATGACTTAAATTTAACTATGTTTGCACAAATTTTTTGAATAAGACGAGTGGTTAAACTTAGGATAAAAAAGTCAAACGAATTATAATTTGGAAATGAGTGAGTAGAAGGGAAACAGACGAGGAGCAGTAGCTGTAGAGAGTAGCACGTCCGCAGACACACTTGCAAACACTAGTAATCACGGAAAGGGCCCGAAATAAATTAAATCGGATTAGCCAGCAGGACAAGGTGTCAAACCATGTCATCATCTTCAGCCATCTCGGAAGTCAATGGAGCGGCGCCAGCGCCGGCACCGGCGGTGTGGACCTTGGAAGAAGACGTCGATGGAGCGCCTTCGCCGGTGGTGGAGGAGACCCGCTCGAAAGTCGATGGTGGAGCGGTGGCGGCGTGGTTCACAGCCTCCTCCTCCTCCTCCCTCTACAGCTTGTCGGTGAAGGTCTCCATCCCCATGTATAAGAGAAGGAGCCAGACATAGGAGAGGAACTCGCCGCCGTTGCCCAAAGCCTTGGCGTGTAGGTAGCCTCTGCACCTGCCGGCGGAGAAGCAGAGCATCTCAATCCAGACGCCTTGGATCACCTCCCACATCTTCTTCTCATCACCTAGGTGTTGCAACGCTTGAGCAAGCATCCAAGCCTCGTGGATGAAAGTTGCTGAGATGGTGGCTTCTGATGATGAATTTAGCTTGCTGATAATCTTTTCTGTAAGCTCTCTCTCTCTTATTATCCAGTGGCAGTGGTGCCTGATTGTCACCCTTGAATATGGCCTGGAGCTCTTCATGGGCTGCTGTGAAGAGATTACGCCTGGAGCCAGGCAACAGCATCTCAGGATTGAGGAACAAGAGGTACGCCATGTAGTTGGACATGTGTGTGCATAGGACAGCTTTACAGTGGGTCAACTCTTGGTCGCATCGAGGACACCATGTCCTAGTCCGGTCGTTGCCGGCAGGTGGTGAATTAGTAGTCCAACACCATTTCCCTACCATTTCTCTGATCCTTTTTCTTGCTCCATGGATTAACTCTGGTATTCCTAGGAGTAGAATGGAGACAGGAGTTGATAGCCTTGTTTTCCATGCCGGGACCTTAGCAAAGGCACATGTCGTCGTATGCTCTGCAAAGGAGCCGTTGAAGAAGCAGAGATCTGTGGCCATGTGCCACAGGAGGACACTCTCATCAAATGGCCTCTTCTTTCCCATGCTGCTCAAGCCCAGACGACGACGACCGTTGCTGCTGCTGGAGGTGGTTGTGCTTAAGATTAAGAAGCTAAGCACCGGCCAGTGTGTGCTATGGTTGTTGAACCTGCGGTAGCTAGGGACGTCGTGTATTTGTTTCTTCCACCCATCTTTCAAATATCCAAGAACGAATATTGAAATTGTGGCAGAGGAGAAGCATGGCTCCATGCCCTTGCCTCCAAACTTCCACTTGATGTTGTGCTTCATGTTGCTGCTGGCAAAGTACCCTATGAGGCTGTATTGAGCGACCATCTAGGGCCACAACTTCCCAAAAAGACTCACCGATGATTCAACCATACTACTAGTTGCGTCCCCAACCATAGCAGGAAGCCCAGAATCAATCTCTAGAATAGCAGTACAACGGAATATGGTATACGTAATCTTGACATCAATACCATCATCATCATGTTTATCATGTGCTTCTTCGCTGTGACTCTGGTGGTGGAAGAGACCGATGGAAGCCAATGGCAGCACCCAACATGAATTCCGTATGAATGCGCGACAATTGAGCTTCACCATATGGTAGAGCCCGTCACTAACAGTTTTCAACTCCTTTGCCAAATCAGTTTGCGTGGTAAAGCCTGCGGTCTTTATAAATTAGTTTGGTGTAGAGAAGATGGAACGCAGCGGCGAGCCCTCTCTGCACGTGGCCATATGCTCTCTCCTCGCTAATGCCCTAGAAATACTTAAGGATACCGAGGCGGAGACGATAGGGAGATGTTAGGTTGACAAATAGCCTGTAGGAGGCCTCACCGAGCAGTCGAAGATATTTGCTGACTTGATCATTTTCTTTCATTACTTGTCTTACTTGCTCAATGACTAGTGCACAGAAGCATCCTTCTCCTTCTTGCGATGGAGAATTTTTGTTGTGATGATGAAGCCGGCCATGTCGTTGTTGCCTCGTCGCCCTCAAGCTTGCCTAGATAGATAGATAGATAGATAGATAGATAGATAGATAGATAGATAGATAGGGAGAGAGAGAGAGAGGAGGTGGGATCGCAGGAGGCCTCACCAAGCTCTTGAAGCCGTTTTCTATTTCTTTGTCTCCATTGATCAAGTTGTTTCATCAAAATCCTTAATGGTTCTAAGAGTTGTGCACATAAGCGGCATTCTTTTGATGGAAAATGATGATTGCCATCCTCCATAGAAGCTGCAGGTGTTGCCACGTCGTCCACAACATTGTTGCCTATATACAGGGGCCAAATATATAGTTAAGAAAATTAATAAGTCGATGGGAATTATTTATAACTAGTCCATCAACAAGAGTCAAGACATTGTTGATAAGCAAATTAATGTGACTTGCAAGGTACAACAATTATTAAGAAAATAATCGAGTTGGAGCTTTGGCTATGAGAGCTAAAGATGGGTTGATGACAGGAATGGAAGTGATTGATACGAGAACTCCCCCCAATGCTATAGTCGGTGGAGCTGCACTCACGGATAAATAACCAGTTATTTATCACGAATCGTTTAGACCAACATAGGTCATAGAATTTAGGAACATTAGAATTCCATCGGTAATAACTACAATGAATTTTGTATTTTAGAAAAAATATTGAAGAAGAATTCACAGTTTCTACTCTAGGAGAAAAGACCATCATCTCCTACCAGATTAGTTCCTAATTTTCGTTTTGAAGCTAGTAATGAGTAATGACCCCACCTATAGTACCCGAACTTTATTTCAACTTCCTATTTTTTCTATTTTTATTTTCAAATTAGGAGAAAAATATCAAGTGTAGCAGAAGTAACTTTTGAAGGTTTAGTTATGGCTAGGGGTTATAGTTGATGTTGGTTGATTATTTTTAACGTCTCTAATTGAAATTTGAATATGAAATTTTGACCAAGGGAAAAAAAGGAACTATATATATACTATAAGAAATGTGGTGATCTATGATGATGGATCAAATGGTTGTTAAATCTTTCTATTTATGACGTGTTTTCAAAAGCTAGTTCAGCTTA